TTTAAATGTGTCGCCTTACTTGACAGCTAGTCAAGTTTTCAATGCACGAAGCATACACGCCACCACACCGAAAGCTTTGTTATCCGACTGTGGCGCGGCGCCTGTGACAACGACAGTAACTTTTGCCGTTCACAAAAGCATTGCAACGGTACTTTTCACAATTCTGGCGCTTCGCGCCAGCTCATTGTCATTGCTATTAATGTCAGCACTGTCATTTCGGGGCATATGTGTACAATATATAAAGGAATTTCGCTCTCATTAGTTTGGAACGGCATTGAACGTGACTTGTATTTGTGTATTCGCTTTAAGTTGCTGCCGCCGTGTGTTATTAAAGAGTAATTGAAGGCAGAAAATATTGCATATTTTGCAGTAGAATATGTCTTAGATTTATCTGTAAGATTTTAGTGAGTTGTCGGCAATATTCACAGTGCAGTACAGCATAAATTTAGTTATGCACACTTTTGCATCAGGCGTTAGCACATACTTAACTAACCTATTAAGTTAAAACCATTAATTAACTATTCAAAATTACATAAATTGTATTTTTGATTACATGAAATCTCTTCATGTGCTCAAGGGCGAGATATACATAGCATATCTATATTTATGAATTCGCACTCATGTCCCTGCCGTTTCAGCTGTTACTTATATTATATCATAGATGTGCGTTTGCCAAAATATTTTGACAACCAATATTCTCGGATTTCGGTTTTTGTGGTTACACATTTATGTAAATAATTTCTGCTCGCATCTAGTGCATCTTCAAATCATGTAAGCTCGATTATTTAATTGGGCATTGAAATCTGCCTGTCTGCCCCTAATTTGTCTGACGAAAATTGCGGTGAGCAGAGCGTATAAGTGCAGAATGGTTTAAGATGAAATTATTTATATGAGCGCGCCAAAATGGCAAAGCAGAAAAAGAAACACAAGGCAAAAATTTTATATGGTATAAAAATAACAATTAATTGATTTCAATTCTAGAAAAACAGCGAGCACGGTAGCTTTATTAAACTAACGGTTGTTTATAAAACTTTAAAATATAGGTTGGTTGAGCGAATTCATAATATTGTTAGTAAAGATGTAAGTTTTGCCATAATGACTAATGCCATAGGCATCTCAAGGGAACAAGTACTTCATATTTTGCTGGAAGATTAATATACGAAAAAGCTGTTTGGAAAGTTAGTGCCTCATACGTTCCCAATTCAACAAACACTGGATCGAAAACAAATTTCTCAGCATAATTTAGAGCATTTTAAGCAGAATAAAACTGATTTCTCGAGTCGTTTTATAACTATGGATAAGACTTGAATCTAGCACCATGATTCGTAATTGAAACAAGAACGTTTACAGTGGACTGAAGCTGGTTGTTCAACTCCAAAGCAGGTGAAATCCCAACGAACACTGAAATTGTCTAAAACCTCCATTGTATTCATTATAAACCAGATCACTGCATCGCAGAACCTTTTCCTGGCGATTCCTTCTCTGCTTACACACCTGCCAAGGATTTGTGAGCGGGACGAAAGTTTTGGAGAAGTGGTGCAGTGAGCTTTTTTGCGGATGGATCGAAGTTAAAAGGAAGGGTAAAAGGTGGAGTCCAACGTCGGGAGCTTTAGTTTCAGGCCACCAGAAAAACTTTCATGGAGAGATTTTTCTTCGACACCTTAAGCCAAAATCGGATAATACATCTTCATCGAGACAACTAAACAAAAAAGTATATATAAAGTTTAAGAAATAACAATCACGTCGCACGATTGAAATGCGACAAGAGTGCGTGACACCCACCAACGCACTAACTGATTGTAGATCGTTGGACTTCGAGCTGAGCTCTAAGCAACCCTCGTGAGTCCGACTTATATATGCTTTCAACTTACTCATCTGATAATTAAGGGCTGTCGGCGGGTCTCCACCCATCAAATACACAATCCATAAAAGATTCTACGCAGTTCGCAAGCAAATTAATTAATCGGCGCCAGTTTGACATGCCGTCCACTTTTATTGCGGTCCGCCGTTTTGCCTTGTGTTTGCAGTTCGTTTGTTTTAATTTGTATTTTTTTGTTATTTTTGTTTGTGTTATTTTTTTTTTTGTTACATCTGCAATTTGCATAATTGACATTTTGCGGTATTTCGCGCGCTTGCTTGTGACATGCGCACACTTACAAATATGCGCGGCAAACACAATAAAATAATGTCATACAAACGAAGTGCACACACTTGCAACACTCATGCTGTTGCACGTTGCATCTTTATAGATATTGGTGCACATAAACAGGTATGTATTACATATGTATAGATTATGTACGGCAGTAAGGCAAATGTGTTTGCATCACGTGACTGCCGACCATAAATTGCGATTTCATTCTACACTGCACATATTTGTAATATTTATTTGTGTGTGCTGGTCTATATATATGTACACGAATGTAACAAATTGTTTCGTGGATGCAAAGTTGTATGTGTATTTGTGTGTATACTGGCACTTATTACAAAAGGATATTTGTCAACGTGCAATATATATGAAACCTAAGAATTTACCCAGTAGATGAATATACAAACCACCCAGTGCTTACCTATACCGAACACAAAAATAACTAATTTTAACTGTTATAGGATCACGAAATTTGCAGAAAATATCCACCAAACAAAAGACTTGAATTTGATCGTTAAGTTTTATTAGCAACTTTATGCTATAGCTGTCCGAGATCAGCGGTTCCGACAAATGAGCAGCTTCTTTATAAGAAAAGGACGTTAGAAAAAATTCAGAGCGATATCTCAAAAACTGAGAGACTAGTTCCTGTATATATATATACGGACAGACAGACGGACATGGCTAAATCGACTCAGCTCGTAACACTGATCATTTATATACATACTTTATAGAGTCTCCGACATTTCCTTTTGGATATTGCAAGCATCATGGCAAACTTGATATATGTTATCCTGTACAGTATATGAGAAAACAACAGGTGACCCCAAAAAAATAATTGAAAATGTTTAACTCTAGATATAGTGGCGTCTATTTTTTTAATACCGAAGATTGGGTCCTTATCCTTTAACTGGTGCAGTCAAGTTTCAGCCATGACCGCTAAAATAAAAAAGATACCTCGGGTTATTGCAGATTTAAGCGTATTATGAAATACATTTTTTCAAATTAATGACTGTCTTAGCCAAATAATGTCAGTAATGAAAAAAGGAAGCAGATACCACTGAAGCAGTGTATTAATTAAATTCGGTTTCTACTACGTCAAATTCAATGGCTGTACTTGTCAAAATAATGACAATAATTGGCCAAATTAACAGAAACGATTGTCAATCAGTTTCATAAATTTATGGCAATGATTTTAAATTTTACTATGTCAAATTCAGTAGCTGTCTTAGTCAAAATAATGCCAAATAAAGTAGGCCTGTTAAAGTAGGTCAAATCAGCTGTAATTTAAGTAGTTTATGGCAACATATTCGTATTAATACGTCAAATTTTATATCAAATTTATTCAGTCCTGCTCAAATTATTGACATCATTTTCGCTTTACGAACAAATTTAATGACAACCTTTCACAAAACAGTGATAGTTCTGTCAAATTGCTTAAAATTATTGTCACTTTTTTTATTTAATAAAAGCCATTGTAAAAATAATGGCATCGCTACTTATATAAGACAAAATTATTGTAAGCTAGATATGATATTTTCGATTTTTACTTTGAACAGTAATGATGAAAACAGTGAAAATGATTTTCAATTCATATTTGTAGCAATTTTGGACGCCACTTTTCGAGCAACCTTATAAAAAAATGTCAAATTCTTGTCAAACAAATTGTTGTGAGATATTCAATGCTTATTTATATATATTTCCATATTAGACCCCAAAATTGTACTTTCTCAAATTAGTTCCGTTGAATTCGAAACAGCAAGGCGTTAGCTCATAAGAGTATCACTCGCATATACTAAATACATATGAACAATACGCAAATAGCAATTGTGGCTTCAGTTTACTAATCTAGGTGATGGAAAAGAGATCCAAACCTTAGAAAAATTGCTTGCTAAATATTTTATTTGGAGCAGTGTACGCTGTACGGCCACCTGCCGGCTAATTTGATGTTTAGAATTCATTTTTCGTGTGATTAAAATATTGAATTTGGTTGGCAAAGGCGATTTTTAAAAATAAAGTGACTCAAGCGTCACATATTGGACATATTTATGGTCGCAATATTTTTCATCATGCAATTAGAATATGTAGATTTGGAAATCTAACGTTTTTTCTACTGGGTGTAAATACATTTCCACTTACACATATATATTTGCTTTTCTCGCTTCAATCAACATTTCTCGCAAAGCGCTGACATTAGCTCATGCATTTGTTTGTGTACAAGTATTTACCATATACTGCATATTTGTCAAAGCAATTGACCATAAGTTTAGACGCTACAAAGTTAATCAGTTAAGGAAAAACTAAGCCACACTAAAGTTCTAAGTATGTTGAGACTTTTCCACGGAGTCATAAAATATACTTAACTTTCGTATTTTTCAAATTAACTTGTTAGCGGTTTTCGAGTTCCACAAAAACTTCTTATCCTGTGAGTGATCTAAATGGATTTGGTTTTAATATAGCGCACTTAGTAGAGTGTTTGAAGTATATAAAATTATTATGTTTGAGGTGGCACACATACTGAATTTGTGACTAAAATATGGTTGCTATATATAAATTCTCGTAGATTATACACTTAATAATTAATTGACTGTACTTAATATAGATTATCGGGAGATAGTTCTAACAATAGGAAGGCTTTAAAAATCACCATGCAGTTTACATTAAATATACAAGTTTACAGTAATTTTAAGGCTGCCTTTGAATTGTGGAGAATTTTTAATAAATTTTAGAAATAAAATAAGGTTAAAAAAATTAAATTTCAGTATATTAATATTCATAATATCAATATTCACAAAGTCTAATTTAAAATCTAATTGAAAGTTATTTAATTTAATTTGATATATTTCTTTTCTTACAGGTATGTACCAAAAATATGAAAGGTCAGAGTTCGCAAACGGATCGTATGCAATCACTAATCACAAACTGTTGATAAAAATTTAAGTCTGAGCACCAAAGTCAAGGTAAACAGATATTTATTTTGTGAAAAACTTTTTTTTTTAATAAATATGTACTATTACCTAGTAAAGATGGACTAAGTTTGAACGAAGTTTAATGAATAATATTGTTAAAAATTTCAGGAATAAATAAATAAATCGATAATAATGTGGAATTTTAGTTCAAGTAAGGCACGTGGAGAGTTAGTGGACGAGTTAAACCTATATATGCATTTTAAATTTAATTTCATTCCTCTAAGCGCAGTTAATCAGCACACAAAATTCAACTAGATAAAGAAAAATCGGGAAAACTCGTTGTTTTAGATATGTATAGGATATATAAAGTAAAATGGTAAGTAATAGGTGAAGGGCATTTTATTGGATATTTATTCGGGTTCATTAGAAATATAGACCACTTCACACATGTCTGCTGGGATTTTGTACTGGAAGTGTCAAAGAAACTGCAAATACTATGTCTTACCTCCAAGAGAAAATTGATGCTTTGATTATCTTCTTTGGAATCAAATATATAAAGTTAAGACATGTGAGAAGTAGGCGTTACTATGTATTATATAATTATTTATTCGCTACAGTAAATTTTAAAAAATTTTGATATGAATTTTATGGAAATGTGGCGAGCCCTGTGTTCATCAAAGTATCTGTGGTTATTCCGAGCAATTGGGCAATTTCCATACTTATATACATACTTATTTTGTGTTACAAACAACCGTTATATGAACGAAACTGTTACACTTCCATCACAAAAATACTCTATGGTAAATGTTTAAGTTCCCACTAATTTAGTAAGAATAAGAACATTCATTATACTATATTAGCACACTCTTATTGACATATAATAACGCCACAAGTCAACGAGTAGTAAACAAAGATGTAAATAAATAAATTCCTATATTTATTTCCAGCAGCGATATTAAAATTAGCTTGCATTTGCCTTGAACTACTCGATATCACTTTCTGTTTATGTTTATCAAAACGACAGTCAGTGAATACTCGAAACACCCCAATAATTTCCCAAACAAACAAAACATTTAGGCATAATTCGAGACAAACAAAAGACACTCAACGGCTGTTCCAGTGACCCTTTTACGCCAATAATTATACCGCAGCTGTGTCTGTATACTTGTGAGTGTGCCCGAGAATATTACAAATACGAAAAACCGCTAATTTTAGAACCTAACGGGCCATTAATAGCCATGAAGTTAAATACTTACTTCGTTTACACATTTTTATACTTGGTACATATTAGTTGCTACTTGGAAAGTTGTGCTGAGCAAATTAGTTAGTGTTATTAAAGTAGTAGTTAATAAACATTTTATAGACAGTTCAGTGAGACAAATGAGCAATGAGCGGTACTTTTTTTTTTTTTGCTTTAATTTCAATGCTCGCAACATGTTGCACAGAGTTTAATAGTTTTGGTGACTTAAAGATTGTTTATAGTACTTCAAATTAATGGAGATAGACTTAAGAGATATATATAGAAAAATTACCAAGATGCGGGTAGAATTTATTGCCGGAAGGTTGGCTGTCCGAGCGTTCATTAACTTGGCAGCATTTCTTCTCAACATTCTAAAGGTGGAAAGAATCAGACGAACAGAGCGGCGTTATCAAAAAAATATAACACGCTACAAATCAGTCTCCAGTAAGGCCACAAATTTAACAAATAGAACTTTTAGTATTAAGGCAGGAGCCCCGTGGCTTTATACTTTTTAAGAGAAAAATTTCTTTTGCAAAATTGAACTATTCAAAAATATGTCTACAAGAGGATTTTTGAAAATTTAAATTGTTTCCGTATATTTAAGTATTTTGGTTCGAGTGGAACAAAAACTTGAAACCTTGAAACGAACCGATTTACCTGAAATTTTTAGAGAATCCTTGCTATAGACCATTCTATGCCTGAAACTATCCATATCCCCAAATTTAAATTTTCTCTATTTTTAAAAATTCGAAACAGTCTAAACAAGTGGGAAAAAAATATTTCGTGCAAAAAAGTTTCCAACTTTTCCGTAGTACTGGAAAATACGACATTATTCTTGATTAATATTTTTTTTTTTACTTCCGATTTCTAGGAGGATTTAAATCGTGTCATGTGCCAATGTTTTAAGACCCCACTTCACTAGCTGCTAATATTTGAAATGTTAAAATTTTTTAACGTTTTGATTTTTTCAATCCTAGTGATTATTAAAACTATTCATTAATGTTATTTTATTTTAAATACCCATTTTACTAGATGATAATATCAACATGTCACTAAATTAATCCATTCTATGCTATAATAAAAAACAAAAAAAAATTATTGACTAATTTTTACACCCGCGCTAGCCACGCGAATGAAACATCTAGCGCCGAAGCTTGTTCGCGCGACTTGATTGCTTGTCAGATAATTTAACTTGGCCGTGTCAGAGCCAAACGCTCACACACACATACACAAGTGCGGCACACACTTCTGAAGGACACACCTATCGAACGTCTTCATGAACTTGTAATTAACATTTGCTTGTTTGCGACTTGTGCACATACAAACTAATTGTACCACGCGTATGTATGTGTATATGTGTGTGCATGTACAGCGGCATGTAACAGTATTTGCCTGCTGTCGGCGGTGCTGTGGACTTGTCAACTGCACACTCCATCAATTATGTTTATACAGTATATTAGTCTGTCAGGCAATTAGTTGATAAGCAAATGTATCTGCCGCATAGCACCGTTATATGTTAACTGAAGTGTACACAACACACATACAAACAAACGAACGAGGAACTTGTTATTTGTAAACGCAAATGTGCGACATGAAAATAGGCGCATGAAGTACTTTATAAATACATAAGCACACACACACACAAACGCTTGGATTTTACGCTCCCGCCGCTCCCGAAAGTTTCCAGCGGCTTTGTGCGTAATTGAGTCACTTGTGAGTGAAATTTTTAATTAAATTATTAAGTAGGTTGCCGTTTAATTGCCAACGTTTGATGGCAATTCAATCTAATGAGTATTGTGCTACGGTAGAACAGCGCGTTTTTGGGGTGTTTCCAGCTGTGCAGCCGCTGCCCGTACACAGTGGTGGCCCTCTAATAAGAAATTATGGGAAAAAACAAACAAAAATGTTAACTGCGTCTGCATCATACCCTTTACAGAAGCATTTTTTATAGCATAAAATGGAATTTTAAATGTTATTGGTCAATTTGAATGGTAGCTAGCCTATATATAATGGTCCGATCTGAAAATTTTCTTCGGAGTTGTAGTGACGCCTTGGATAATAATCTATGCTAAATTTATTGAAGATACCGTGATAAATAAAAGTGAGTTTTCCATTCAATTACTTGTTCCGATCTGAACAATTTCTTCGGAGATTGTAGCGATGCTTTGAAAAAAATATCTGACAAATTTCGCTAAGATACCTCCTTAACTAAAAAACCCTTCCACATAAGAACTTAATTTTGGTCGTTCAGTTTGTTTGGCAGCTATATGCTGTAGTGGTCGGGTATTGATGGTGCTGACAAATGAACAACTTCTTGGGGAGAAAAGGACTTGTGGAAAATTTCAGAGCGATATCTCAAAAACTGAGGAACTAGTTGGCGTATATACAGACGAAAAGACGGACATGGCTAAATTGACTCAGCTAGTCACGTGAATCAATTATATATACGTTATACGTTATAGGGTCTCCGACGTTTATTTTTGTGGATTACAAACATCGTGGCAAACCCTGTTCAGGGTATAAAAAAAATTCAAAACCCTGTCAGAAATTTCAAGTGGTTTCTACAGTTAGTAAAATTGCTAGTAAGACTAGCAGGAATGTTTTAACGAGACGAAAAGCTATATTCTAACAAAACGTATATTTCTTACTGAATGTGAAAGGAGCCTGATGTCATTGTGAGGCTCCGATGCCTTAAAAACTGTCCTCAAAGACTACCTCCCAGATTATTGAAAAACTATATTCTAAAGTATTCCCTAAAGTTTTTTAAATTTTATATACAAAAACCTCTGTAGACAATTAGGTATCTCACATATATATACAACACATTAAGATGTGATTAATAGACACCTCTAAGAAAGACTCTCCTCCGCCTAACGGTTTTCTATTTTTTTCTAATTATCTGATAGAAAAATTCATGTCACTAAAATGAAAAATAATACTAAACCATATAATTTTGATAATATGAAAACAAACTAAGGTTTCCTACGTAATAATGTTTCAAAACATACTTTAAAGTTGTTATAGCTCGACTTCGGAGCAAAATATTGATATTAACCTACCGCAAAGTGTTGATCTCAGGTCATTTGAAAAATTGTGAGGAAAAGTTGAAAGACAAAAAATTGAAAAATAATGACAAATTGATTTAATTGGTAAAAGTTGGAAGAATATATTATATATGAGTGAAATTGTCTTGATATTTTCGGGGAAGACTAAACAATGCAAACCAAAACAATGATTCTCCAACAAATATTAAAAAAAAATTGTGAAGATAATGAAGAAGAATATACTCTAACATATTAACAGAAAATGTGATTAAAAATAAATGTCTGCATTTTTTTGAGCTATTTACATGTCTTAATATAGCTAAACTTTCTAAATTTCAGATCAAACCAATTTTGTACTATTTTTATTTTTATTTTTATTTTTTTTTTATAATTAATTTTTGTAAATACTCCAAATTTGCTAATTATCAATTTCATTGTTATGATTTAATTGTCGCACTCGTTTTTAGTTATATGACCACCACTGTATATGTAACTACCAACCGCTAATTAGTAAACGGTGAATGCAAATAATTTGTACTGTTATTTAATTTGTTTCAAATTATCTGTTTGTGACACCGCAAATTAGTATTTCGATAGCAAATTTTTAAGCAAATCTGATTATAGAAGCT